CAGGTGCTCCTCACGAACTACAAAATCTGTCTTTTTAGGGTTAGTCTTTCCTAGAAGATCAAACTCACAATTTCTCTGCAGGATAAAGAAGTTGATAACCTCTGAGCTGTTTAATCTTCCTTTAATCACAGCTCTCTTATCTGTAAATGACTCTTAATGTACAGAGTTTAACCAGCGTAGAGGTACGGGTTAGGGTTAGGATAGGATCGTATTTGTGTTTGTTTTTGGCTCGAAATAACCCACAAACGTCTCTGAAAGTCGCCCACTCTTCTTTATTCAATGGTGCGTTCAAGTCCCCCTCACAAACTACAAAATCTGTCTTTTTAGGTTTTTAGTCAACTCTGAATTAATAAAGATGTTGACAACACCTGAGCTGTTTAACTTAACTTTAATCACAGCTCTCTGATCTGTAAATGACTCCTAATGTACAGAGTTTGACCAACTTTGTCCCTAAAGACGCAGAAATAAACATTTTTAGAACGTTTTATGAACCTTAACTGACAGGGATGAGGCTGGTCCTAGATGGGAATCACTGAGACGGACAAATGTTTTTTAGAATGACTCTAAAGTCTGTTTTCTGCTGAAAAGGAGATTTAAGCCACAAATATGACGCCATGTGTTTGATTACGTTGGTTAAAACTTGGTCATTAACACCAGAAACAGTTTGGTCCTTCACACGGTTTTAAGTAAGGGTTAAATTATAGATATAGACTTAGACTTTTACTTGTACTTTATTGATCCCTTGGGAAGACTCCCTCAGGAAATTAAAGTTACCAGCAGTTTACAGGTAAAAAAGTGGCACATAGGGAGCAAAATGCAAAAAAAATACAAAAAATACAGATTAAGTACAGGTACACACTAAATGTGAATAGCCTAAACAAATAAGAATAGAAATAGAAATAACAAATAAAAAAAACAAAATTAGGCAAAAATAAGCAAAGAATAAGAATATAAATACAAAGAAAAAATAAAAAACCCTAAATTAAGCAAAAATAAGCAAAGAATAAGAATATAAATACAAATAAAAAATAAAAAAACCTAAATGAATAAAAAATAAGCAAAGAATAAGAATATAAATACAACGTGAAAATAAAGACCGCTCAGGAAATATAGGAGTTTGGTGGATAGATTGACCAGTGATGTGGTTTGGCCTGATAAATATGGAGTTACATTTTACAGAAAAATACAAATATATATATATATAACAATTTATAATGTAATATATATATCATTTACAGATCTGTAAAAGACACCAGGTGTACAGAGTGGAACAAAATATATCCCTGAAAACAAATAAATGAACATTTAGAAATATGATAGTTCAGACTCAGACGTTTTAATAATTATTCAAATGTCTGTTGAAGGTTTTAATGACTTAGTGCTGATGCCTGGAAGGAGGAGCCTCCATCCAGATGAGCCCAGAGGACTCAGTCTGGTGCCCCCCCCCACACCTGCAGCATCCCCATCAGAACCGGAGCCCCCCCCAGACAGCAGAGAGCTCAGTAAGACACGGTTTCAGGCATATTCATCCCCTCTGTGGCTTTACAAAGAACGCAACGATCTATGACTTTAATCATATGTACATTCTTACAGTGAGAGACAGAATCCCAAAGAAAATTCCAGAAAATCACATCATATGAATTTATAAAAATTGATAACCATCTGATGAGGAAAAATGTGGCTTTTACTGTTAGAAAGTGAGAATATGTTGTTTCAGACAATAATCATCACACTTTAGAGCCGCCAGGCTGCAGATCTGGATGTCTGTGGATCACTGCAGTTTCACACACTTTTCAAATCATTGAAAACAAGATTAAAAAGTGAGATACATCACAATGAAAGTTACTAATCAAAGTGATTTAATACATTTAAATCAGTTTGTTTATTACAGAGTAAAAAGACATGTTTTCTTGCTCAATTAGAATTAGCATTAGCATTAGCATCTGTAACCCCCAGGTCTGTGTCCTAACCATTAAGTTGTTATCAGAGTAAATCCCTGTTCAACATGAGTCTGGCAACTAAGGAAGTAGATAAATAACTTTAGACTTTAGTACAGGCTCTGATAGGCCGGGATCGGATCGGATGGGGACATCCCTAGTATTGAATGTAAACCTGTGGCTAACCTGTGAGCTCAAACCGTTCAGAGCTACATTAATTAGCTGGAGTGTTTCATAAGCGTCTCTTTGGGGGGATGAAAACCAGTCGGATGGAGTGATACGATCCACAATACTTTATATTTTCTAGTTACTCATTTGTTCTGAATATCCACGTTTGCTTCCGTTCTGCCTGCAGATGTGCGGCAGCTGTCTGAGATGAAGGAGGAGGAGGTTCCCTGGAAGTCCGACCCGGGCCCAGGGCCTCCAAACATAAAGGAGGAGGAGCAGGAACCAGCAGCCTTTGAGGGGGAGGGGCCTCTCCCTGGGCCGGAAACGGCCGAGGACAGCAGCTTTTCTCTGGCTCTTTTTACCGTGAAATGCGAAGAGGAAGAGGAGAAACCTCAGCCCTCACAGCTTCAGGTCAAAACTGAAGACGACCGAGAACCGGAGCTCTGTGGAGGACCAGAACCAGCCGGGACTCGGACTACAGACTCAGACTCCTCTGAGACCGAACTCAGTGAGGATGAACTGTGGCGGGAACCGGCCCGTTCTGAGCCCGGAGACGGACACGGAGACGGAGACTCCCACGAGCCGTCCGGAGATCCCGAGGCCGGATGCAGCACCGGCAGGAAACCGTTCGGCTGCTCGGCGTGCGGGAAACAGTTTTTCTCCAAGTATTCCCTGGGCCGACACTGGCAGCTGCATACGGGGGAGAAAACCTTCTGCTGCCACGTTTGCGGGAAAAGATTCAACCAAAACATCAACCTCAAGGCGCACATAAGAGTTCACACGGGAGAGAAACCGTTTGGCTGCGTTGATTGTGGCAAAACGTTTAACCACAAATCCAATTTAAAAAAACACATGAACATTCACACGGAGAAACCGTTTGAGTGCGATATATGTGGGAAAAGGTTTCATCAAACTGCTAATCTGAAGCTGCACATGAAGCTCCACACAGGAGAGAAGCCGTTCGGCTGTTTGGAATGTGGTAAAACGTTTAAGAACAGGTCGAATCTGAAGTCCCACGTGAACCTCCACACGGGAGAAAAACCCTTCGGCTGTGGGGTTTGTGGCAAAAGATTTAATCAAAACACAAATCTTAAGATCCACATGAAGCTTCATATGGGAGAGAAGTCCTTTGGCTGCGACGTTTGTGGGAAAAGTTTTCATCAAAACACGAATCTGAAGGCGCACATGAGAGTTCACACGGGAGAGAAACCGTTTGGCTGTGCAGAGTGTGGCAAAAAGTTCAACCACAAGTCGAATCTGAAGAAACACATGAACGTTCACTCCGGAGAGAAACCGTTGGACTGCCAGGAGTGTGGGAAGAGGTTTGGCAACCGGAGGAGTTTTTCTCGACACGTGAGAGTTCACAGCAAAGAGAAACCCTTCAGCTGTGTCACCATCACACTCTAAATAAAGGTAAAAGCACAACCTGACTATTTGGGTGTGTCGATTCAAAAGATTTACCCACAACTCAAATCATGAGAAACAGAAAAAGATTCACCCACGGATCAAATCATGACAGAACAGAAATGTTCAGACAGGAGGAAAAGTCTTGGTAGTTTTTCTAAATGTTTGACAAACTCTGTTTGTGTTGCAGTTTGCAGAAATTTGTGAAACCTGCTTAACCCTTTAAAGCCTCATCCAGGAATAAAACAAAACAGAAAATTACTTCTGTTTTTTTGTTTGAATTCCCTATTTGGCCTTTTAACAAAATATGTAAAAAGAACAAACAGAAATACATTTTCGATATTAATCATTTATTACTGTGCAATAAGTCAAGATTATTTTTTGTGTAATCTTCTGCCCCCTGTTATCAGGTGTATCTGATTGTGTACAATAGGATTTTGAGCAAAGTTTTTACCATTAAATTATGCAAAAGGTGTCAGACGCAAAACATTTCAGAAACCGTATCAAATATGACACATTTGGCATTACAGGGTTAAAAATAACTACTTTTTTTTGCTTCGTTTCTCAAAAGTTGGCGACCACATTCCAGGACCTTTGGTTTCTGATTTCTTCTTCTCTAAGAACAAAGCAGGTAGCTGCACAGCCTCGCGGCTTCAGACTCTTAATGCTGTTGATTTATTAAAGGACGACGGACAATATGGATGTTGAAATATTCAGATAACTTAAGAAAGGTTCTCTTATTTAATGTAGTTTAAAAAAAGAATATGATTCATAATTTGGAGCCCAGGTTTGTGAACAGTGGAGTGCAGATTAACCGTCTATTCCCTCCAGAATCAGAGGCTCTGATTTAAATGATGCTTCCAAACCTTTTGCCTTCACATTAAAAGCCCTCCTAACCACACACAAGCACGTAATGCCTTTGCTTATTTATTTTTGTTTTTTTTTAGCTCTGTATAACTCTTCCAAAACGGCTGACTGAAGTCCTCTCATGTGAAGGACACCAGCAGCCTTCTGAACTTTCTCCAGAAATGATTTATGACTTAGCCTCTGTGCACCACTTCATATGACTGTTTTATTTTAGAAAACCTGCATTTTGCATTTTCTATATGATCATAAAAAAAGTAGGAAACTTAAAAGCCAATTTTTCTAAGAAATGTTGTCTTTGAATCTGAAAATAAAAAAATAAAACTCCCTTTTTGGTTCCATATTTATTGTGTTGGTGTTAAGAAAATCCCTTTTATCCAGAATAATTTATTAAAGTATACAAATGTATAACGGTTTTATTTGTGGTTGTTTTGTTCTGGTGAGAAATGATCAAAATAAACTCAGAACATCATCGTGATGCTCGTTTTCTGACTCGTTCCTTCAGGATACATTCAAGTTCTTTTGTCTCATAATGAAATTAAAAAGTTTTCTTGGAAGCTTCCAACTTATTTACTGTTTATTTGTTTAATGACAGGATATTTTGCACAGTAAAAATGACACATGCAGTCAGATCCACACCTCTGACTTAACTTTCAAAAAAAGCCCAAAAAATGAGCTGAAAGAAAGTTATTCAGCAGCTAAAAGGCAAAAGTAAGATCCAACTCCACCTTTGCTGTCACATTAGTTTTGTTTTGTAGTTTGAATCCCAGAATATTGGTGAATAAGATTAATTACCCAAGAGTGGTAATCTTATCTCTGTTATTACCATGTTATAACATGGAATGAATTCAATAAAGAAAAAGCCTTAAAGCCCAAGAGTTAAAAATAACCCAGAGCAACAAACCAATCAGGATTCTGGATTCACTCACAGCCTCCCTCATGTGAGAGGAGGCATCAAATCTAACCCAAACCCCACAACAATGAATGATCTGCAACCAAAATATAACGCCCCACAGCTCCTATCCTGAGTGGGTTTTGATGTGTCTGTTGAGACTTCCACGCTGAGTAAAGGTCTTCCCACAAATATCACAATCGAACGGTTTCTCTCCTTTGTGGGCTCGCACGTGAATGTTAAAATAGTTCTGATGGACAAACTTTTTCCCACACAGATCGCAGACGAACGGTTTGGGCCCCGTGTGCGTTTTCATGTGTCTGTTCAGATTTTTCTGCTCTCTGAAAGTTTCCCCGCAGACTCCACACTCGAACGGTTTCTCCCCGGTGTGGATCCGGACGTGGGCCTGGAGCCTGAAGGTGCACCGAAAGCTCTTCCCACACTCGTCACAGCCGAACGGTTTCTCCCCGGTGTGAAGGCGGCCGTGCCTCAGCAGGCTCCCGTGTCGGGAAAACCTTTTCCCGCACTCCGCGCAGCCGAAGGGCCTCACCCCGGTGTGGCCCCTCATGTGGACGGTGAGGTCCGTGTTGCGCCGGAACTTTCTCCCGCAGCAGCTGCAGGCGTAGGGTCTCTCCCCGGTGTGGACCGTCCGGTGCGCCCGCAGCTGGGACGGCTGGCAGAAGCGTTTCCCACACTGCTCGCAGCCAAACATCGTCCCCCCCGTGTGCACCTTCACGTGCGTTTTCAGGATCTTCTGCTGGCTGAATCTCTTCCCGCAGTGCTCGCAGGCGAAGGGTTTCTTCCCACCGCCGGCTTTGACCTGCGAGTGCCACGCCAAGTGTTTCTGAAGGGAACGCCGGTAAACGAAGCCTTTTCCACATTCAGAGCAGCCGAGGGGCCGTTTGGCAGCCGGAGACCCCACAGGTGACCCCAGTTCTCTGCTCCCCCCCCAACCAGGCTCACTGTCCTCAGTCTCAGAGGAGGAAGTCGACGGATGTTTGTACGTTTCGTCGTCTTCATCGTTGACAGTGACCTCAGTCTCAAACACATCCGTCTTTTCATCAGTATCTAGCTTCAGACGGCTGTTTGGGTCCGGGTTCCTGGCTGGTTCTGGTCCCTGGGAGTCCCCTCCATTAGTTTCTGTTTTAAGCTGAGAGGTTTGGGATTTTTCTTCGTAATCTTCGCTTTTTATAATAACGGTAAAAGGGAAGCCGGTGGTGTCAGACTCTCTCTCCTCCTCCTCCGGACTCGTCCACAGCTCCTCCTCCTCTTCCTTCTTTATGTGGAGGAGTTCTGGGTCCTTCTGTTCCAGACTGGAGGTCCAGGGAGGCTCTTCTTTAACCACCAACAGCGGATGGACATCTACAGAAAACACATGAACACACAGAGACTAAATAATAAAGACAAGCGAGTTCACTAAATGGTCATTTTGTCTGTAATACAGCTTCAAACGGCCCCCCAAAAACTCTCAAACTGGGTGATCCAAGCAGAAGCTTTTTCTTCAGAACCAGAACTCCCAGGAGATGAAAAAGTTTGTGATGCGTGAACCTGAGCAGAGGGAGGAAATGTCCCACAGACACCGACAGTTTAACACTTTAAAGCCCGATCCAAGAATAAAATAGGAAGAATATTGGATTTTTTTAGTCTGAAGTCTTTCTTTGGCCCCTCAACAACATATGAAGAAAAAAAACAGAAATTATTTTGATCAAATTAGCGTGCAATAAGTCAGAAATGTATGTTGGTGTAGTCTTCTACTGGCTGTTATCAGGTATATCTGAATGTGTACAACAGGGGTTTGAGCAAAGCTTTTACCACTGAATGATGCAGAAAGTCTCAGATCCAAAAGAAACCGGATCAGATATGACACATTTGGCTTTATAGGGTTAACTCCTGCTCATCCCAGGTTTAAAAAAATCATCATTTCACACTTTTGTGGGAATTGAGAGAATTGTTTCTATGACAACACCCTGCAGCTGTTTGCAGCCTCGGCTAAAAACAAAAAAAAGCTATTTTTAAGCAATTTTTTTAAGAAAATAACATTTTAATTATGTTTTAAGTTTGTTGCCAGGCTACCAGAGAGTGGACACAAGGAAGCAAAGACTGACTGAGGTCCGATGGTTTGGTTAAACTTTTTGGGGCTGTCACAGTTTTAGACGTTCAGACTTAGACTTAGACTTTATTGATCCCTTGGGAAGACTCCCTCAGGAGATTAAGGTTACCAGCAGCTTACAGAGGGAAAAATGGCACACAGAGAGCAAAATTAGGCAAAAATAAGCCAAGAATAAGAATATAAATACGTGAAAATAAAGACCCCTTAAGAAAAATAGGAGTTGGTGGTGGCTGCTGCACCTTCACAGATTAGTTACCTTTTTAGGTTTTTTGTTTCCCTTCTTAAAGCAATAAAGAAGTTCAAGGTATCTGACAGATGTGTGAGCAAATACAAATGACCACTCTCCGTTCATGGAGTCTGTTTTTCTTTGTTGTTGTTGTTGTTGTTTTGTTTTTTTAAAGAATATGTTTATTCATTTTCAATTTCACAGCAAGTAGACAAATATCCAACAGGCAATGACCTAAACAAACAAACCAACAAACAAACAAACAAACAGACAAAAGAAAGAAAAACACACACACAGCAGCTCAGGAAAAATATGGAGGAAAAAATAATAGGAAATAATCATAATAATAATAATAATAGGAAATAAATAATAATAATAGGAAGAAATAAAAATAGGAAAAGTACAACAGCATGCCTTCCTTTGTGACCTTTCAGGAAGTCCTTTTAACAAAATGGTCGATACATTCGGGTCAAGTTAGTTCAAATAAAATTCCCATACTTTATAAAATGGTTTCGATTTGGAGTGTATCATACATGTTAAATATTAGGAGGGCATCGGAGGAAGGAGAGGAAGCCTTCTGGTTCTGGTGACCGTTTTTTTTTTTTTTTTTTTTTTGTGTTATAATTATGTGTGCCATAAGCCTGTAAGACTTGTTTTTCTTCTTGCGTGTACATGCCTCGTGGTATTGTAAACTTGTTCAAATTGTTTAATGAAGTTAAAAAATAATAATATTAGGAGGGTATCAACTCAAAAAGAACCTTATGCCAGCCTTTAACAGCTGGGTCTCTGTTATTTATCCAATAATAGCAATAAAATATTCTCCCTAGCTGCATGTGTAAGAATACAAAACAGTCTCTGATTGGTTAACAGCACATTTCTAGCAGGAAGGCCTAGAATAAGAGACATCTGTAACTTTAGTCCTAATATCCTTTCGATTTCAGTTAAGATATTAGACCAATATATTTGTAACTTATGGCATGACCAAAGACAGTGAATTAATGTTCCAATTTCTGTTTTACATTCAAGACACACTGGTGATAAAGTGGGATTGAAATAGTGTCTGTGGTGAGGGGAAAAATGCATTCTGTGTTAAATCTAATGGAGTCTGTTTTTAACCAGGCTAAAACTAAAGCTAAAGCTAGCCCACAGAAACAGGAATATTATTATTATTCTCACCTCCTGTCACAGGACGGACTCCTGAGGTTTCAGCTCTCCCAGTGTTGTCCAGATGGAAACAGTCCACCTCGGTCATGGTCACTTTTCTTCTTCGTCTCTTTCATCAACAAGCAGCAGGTTTAGTTTGAGACAAAATAAGCGGAATTCAGCCGCTTATATTAAAACCAAACGGGATGCATCCGTGGCTTTTATGAGCTGAAAACTCAACCCACGAGGCCCCCGTGTTTGTTTGTAAACAATGACGGTGGCCTGATGTATTTTTGATCAGGCATCTGCACGGACACCTGTCGCCTACGTCATCAGCTCAGCGCGCGTCCACGGGATTTTTTGGGGTTGAAATTAGCGTGATTTATTTATTTAAATTCATTAATGGCTACTCGTTATAAACATGTATATATTTTAAAGATAAAAACAAGATATAGCATCAATTTGTTTGGGTCTTTTACGTAAAGATTTCCTGTTATTTTTAACCAGAGTTGTCGCCCTCTGGTGGACAATATGGCGAACTGCAGCTGCCTTTTCACTTCCAGTAAATGCTTGAATAAAAAAAGAAAAATCCAGCTCTTACTTACTTAAAACACGTCTTCAAAACTCAGTTCTCCTTATATTTATCTTTTCCGGAGATGCGGATTCTGCAGCCTGTAAATTATCTCCGATCCAATGAACGATTCACTCCAGAAATCTGTCTTTTATCCACTAATGTGATCGTTTTTACAAAAGAAACGTGGTTTACAAGAACAACATGAAAAGGTCCAGGAAGGTTTATCGCTTCGAAAAAAACACGATTTATGTTGGAAATGTTTTTTTTAGGCACACAAACTCACAAGTTAGCTTTTAATTCTAACGAGAAAGATTACTTCAATTGAATATTTGATTTTTAATCATCACAAAACGTGGTTTACAAGAACAACATGAAAAGCTCCAGGAAGGTTTATCGCTTCGAAAAAAACACGATTTATGTTGGAAACGTTGTTTTAGGCACACACACACACAAGTTAGCTTTTAATTCAAGCGAGAAAGATTACTTCAATTGAATATTTGATTTTTTATCATCACAAAACAGCCAAAGAATCCAGCTCTTACTTTATTAAGACGCGTCTTCAAAACTCAGTTCTCCTGATATTTATCTTCTACAGCCCGTAAATTATCTCCGATTTAATGAACGCTTCACTCAAGAAATCTGTCATTTATCCACTAATGAGATTCATTTTACAAAAGAAACGTGGTTTACAAGAATAACATCAAAAGCTCCAGGAAGGTTTATCGCTTTTTATAACAGAAAAAAAACACGATTTATGTTGGAAACGTTGCTTTAGGCACACACACTCACAAGTTAGCTTTTAACTCTAACGAGAAAGATTATTTAAGTTGAATATTTGATTTTTAATCATCACAAAACAGCCAAAGAATCCAGCTCTTACTTTATGAAGACACGTCTTCAAAACTAAGTTCTCCTGATATGTATCTTTTCCGGATTCTGCAACCTGTAAATTATCTCTGAGCCAATGTACAATTCACTCAAGAAATCTGTCATTTATCCACTAATGTGATTAATTTTACAAAAGAAACGTGGTTTACAAGAATAACATCAAAAGCTCCAGGAAGTTTTATGTTGGAAACGTTTTTTTAGGCACACACACTCACAAGTTAGCTTTTAATTCTAACGAGAAAGATTATTTCAATTGAATGATTGACTTTTAACCATCACAAAACAGCCAAAGAATCAGTGTAATGGTAAACTTCTCGAGTGAGTTTTGTCCCTCCGCGGACGCCGTCCTTCCTGATGTGGGTGTGGACACGGATGACTTCACCAAAAAATGGAGGAGAAGCCGTCCAGCCTAACCTGCCCAAAGTAGTTAGAGTCTGACGGGAGTTTTCGGGCTGTTTCTGGCATGTTGTGTCGGGATGGGAAACCTGTTTGGAAAAAAGAAACAGTCCCGGGTGACGGAGCAGGACAAAGCCGTCCTGGTGAGCCTCCCGTCGGCCTGAAATCAGCGGGCGGCCGCGGGGAGAACCGGCCCGAATCCGCCTTGAAAAAAACGCCGCTTTTAGACTTTATCTTGCCAAAGATCGTTTTAAGACGCCTGACACAACTCTGTTTGACAGATTATCTTTTCTTACAACCTTCTTTACAATTCGGCGTATTTGTTTTATAAAAATACTGAATTTAAACCACGGATCTATCCGTAAACTGTCACTTTTTTTTTTTTACATAATCACGATTTCGCTTCTCGATCTGGTGTCTTCCGGTGCCAGTTTGGGGGCTTTAGGCCAGAACAAAAGGCCGAAAAGTGTGCCGGATTCTTAGGCGTGTCTCAGAGTCCAGGTTGGTAATGTCTGCTTCCTTTTCCCAGCAACTGAAGCAGCAGAGAGATAAGCTGAGGCAGTACCAGAAGAGGATCGGCCTGCAGCTGGAGAAGGAGAGGCTTTTAGCCAAAAAGCTGCTCAAGGATGGAAAGAAAGAGTGAGTAAACAAAAACACTTTCACTAAAACTAGATCAAGACGCA